GTATGTTTAATTTCCAGAACGGAACCTGGCAAAATCTAAGTTTTTAGTAATACAAATAAGTAAATGTAAAAGTAACTTCTTATGTTTAAATAAATTTCATTCATCTTCCAAAACCTTGTCATATTTTTTTAAAAAAGTATTATATATTAATTAGGTAGCTAATATCTCAAAATTTGATAAATATTAATGATCACTGAAAGTAACAGATGACTCAAGTATGTAGGATTTTCAGAAGGTAGCTCATCACTTTCAGTTCTTTGAGTCCTGCTATGTAGAGGAGGTCATAGAAAGATGGGACTCCCTACAGAAGTCTTAGGGATTGGGCCTGGAAATGATACCTACATACTTCTATCAGAATAAGTCACACGCATGAACTAAATTCAAGGACCTGGGATAGAAGAAACTAGTGAGTGTCTAGCTAGTCTATGATGCCACACATAAACTTTGAAAATACTAATGCTTCTAGTTCCTTTTTCAATCTTTATAAAAAATTTTCTTTTTGCTTTTTGGGGTCACACCTGGTGATGCACAGGGGTTACTCCTGGCTCTGCACTCAGGAGTTACTCCTGGCGGTGCTCAGGGGACCATATGGGATGCTGGGAATCGAACCCAGGTTGGCCGTGTGCAAGGCAAACGCCCTACCTGCTGTGCTATCTCTCCAGCCCCCCTAAAATATTTTAATTTGTGCTTGTGTCTGCTGAGATGAAGGAAGGAAATAAAGTAGACTGATGGAAGAAGGGAAGATATTGGTAATAATCTTTAGGATCATATTCTCTTTAAGTATGTTCCAAAAGATAGGTAGCATTTGAGCTGAGGTGATAAAGATAAAAATTAATCCAGCTAACAACCTGAGTGCCTGAGAACAGATGACTAGATTAGGAAACTATGATACATCTACACAATGGAATACTTTGCAGTCACCAGGAAAACAGAATCATGAAATTTTTACATTTCATTTCATTACATTACATGGAAGGATATGAAGAGTATCATGCTGAATGAAATGAATTAGAAGGAGAGGGAGAGACATAAAATGATTTCACTCATTTCTGGGATATAAACAAAAACATAGTATGAGACTAATATCCAAGACAGCAGAAACAAGGGCCAGGAAGACTGGTCCACTGTCATAAGCTTGCCACAAGTAGAGGGGTCAGTTAGGATAGAGAAGGAACAACTATGACAATATTCCTAACTGACCACTCTTAACAAGAATTGAGTGCTGAAAGTAGGTAAAGGGATAAACATGACAACCTGTCAGTACCTGTATTGCAAACCATAATGCCCAGAAGGAAAGAGAAAAGAGTTTGCCAAAATCAAGATAAAAGATTAAGTTTTTAGAGGGGAAGGAAGATTTCTTTTGGGGCATGATCACTTTAGAGAAGCCTATTAGATTAGAACGACAGGTCAATGAAAGTGATAGTACATAAAATTGCTAATAGAAGAATAGTACTAAAAGTCTGAGGATGATGTGATCATCTGAGAAAGTATAATTTCTGAAAAAATAAATTATGAGGCTAAATTGCAGGGCCATCTACAAACCAGAAGTCTAGCAGAAGAGCAGCAGACTACTGAACACATCTGTTGTATTGTCAGGAAATCTGTTAGATACCAGAATCATACCAATAACTGGAGTCCAGAGAGAAGAAATAGGATGGTCCATTGAATTGACTGAAACTGAGAAGTGAAGAAAAGGAGGGAACAGTCAATGTGTCATATGGCTCACACAGAAGTGACAAATGATTGACAAGAGTAATTTCAGAGCTGAAGAACTGAAGGACATAATGTGAAAAGCAAGTGGAAGTTATCAGCCTAGTTAGCATCTGTCAACAATTCCAGTAAAAATCACAGTATATTGAATGGGTCTGTGGCCAGAAAAAAAATAATACATGGAAGTTACTAAATTTGGGATTATGGGAAATGTAACTATATTTGGGATTATGGGAAATGTCCTGCAAAAGTAGAAAAAAGATGCCTACCAAATCAGAAGTTTAAAAGAAAAAGTCCTTGACTAATCATTTTTAAAATCTTTTGGGTTCCTTGACCTATAAAATTACATTGTATAAAAAAATACACATTAGAAAGACATTAAAAAATTTCAAATTATCTGGAACTTAAAATGCACTTATTTTATTATAATATTGCTAGAAAATAGCAAGTATACATCTATAAATGTGCTTTTCCAGGAAAGAAAAATATAATTAACAAATTCAAAAACTTTGTACAACCTAATTATTTATCTTAATGTCCAAGTTAAAGTAATTATCCCATGTCTGGCTTGTTAGGGGAGAATACAGGAGGATGTTGGCCAAAATCTTAGGTTATAGTTGTATCTTACTAGTGAACTAGTTTGCCCATTTGTGAAAACAGAATATTTTCTCTATTTTGGTGAATAATTAATGTGTTGAGTAGTCATCATTTTGCAGGTTGTTTTTGTGCTAACCAAACCTGATATAAATTCTGTTTTCTCAAGATCTCTGAGCCTCCTTTGTATCTTTAAGTCATAGTGCATGTGTTCTCCTTTATAGATGGGTATGGAAAAGGAATAAAAATATGGAAAATAATAACTGTATTATAAAATAAAATTCTCAGACAAAACACATATGATGAACAGAAAACAACTGAATCCTGCTGTTATTATAAGCTTAGGAAAATATTTTATTTGGTATATTTTATCATTTTATTACTATTTTATTCACAGTTAAGCAATCATAAATTACATCAAAACTTTATTACCATTTATTGCTAACTGATAAAATAAAAATAAATCCAATCAGGAAAACTAGTGAAAGTTCTTCAAATAAACATATAGTTGATTCATGTGATTCATTAAATATTATATTAAAGAGCTGTAAATAGCAAGATCATATGTGTTTGTGGCATAAGGGGGTTGGGTGACTTGATATTTAGTGTACAGAATATAAAGCATAAAGTTATTTTAGAGCACAAAAATTTACATTTTAAATTTATATTACAACCTGTTCATAAAAGTAGTGGATGTGTATGCAGGGAAAAAAGGTAGACTAGAAGAAATAAATACAGGACAAAGAAGACAAATGGTGTCTAAGAAGGAAGAAATTGATGACCACTCAATAAAGACCTAGAGAAATTAACTGTCCCAAAATCACAGTTTAATTTTCTCTGGAGCCATAATCCTCCAGAAAATTAGTTGCATTAGTTCTACTAGTGATTGATTGATTGACTTTTTTACTGCCTAACTCATAATGCTAGAATCTTGTCCTCTAATAGACTATATGATGTAACAATTATTTTTCTTGGGATATTCCTTGAATTGCAGCACTATCAGGACAGTTGTCTTCCTAAGTGCTGCAATAAATTAAATTGAAATCCAGAATTATCTTTGAATAAGAGTGAAGTGTTTCCCTCTATCTCTCTATACATTTTGACAAAGTAGAATATTTTCCCTCACTACCACTTAATTATTGGACTGAAAAACAGTTCACACTTCCTCATAAAATAAATGTTCTCAGCACCTTCAGTTAGTGCTCAGATCATGCCTAAGTATATCAACAGACTACTACTACCAATCAAGGTCCATGATTACAGAAAGAAAGAACTCTATTCTTAAACCTTCTTATAAGCCAGTTGTGTTTACTATCATAGTGTAATTAAATATTAATCAAGGGGATGAAATATAAGTGTGATAAGGAGAATTGCTGTCAGTGAAAATAATGCTTTGGAAAGGTAGAAAGAGCATTATCTGAATTTGAAGTTCTTATTTTAGATTAAGGAAAACACAAAATTGAAATTCTAGATGAATTATTGGTATCACTTAAGCACAAAATATGGTGTAGAATTCCAATCAATAGTCACTTAATCAAAGACAAAAGCATGGACTTACATCAAAAGTCTGACATGTGAATATAAATGTACAGTTTTAAGACAAAATGGAGTACTTAAGGTATGAATGCATCATTTTTATGTTTCCCTTTACTAAAAGACGATTTTAATTCATAACCCTACTGTTTTTGTTCACGGAAGGTAAAATCATACCTGCTGTGCTATTAAGAAATAGATCATAGACATATTCTTATTACATGGAAATAACTAAACAGAAAGCAGAAGACAAATACAGTTATTAAGAGCAAAGAAAATGTTGCTAACTAAATTTTTACTTACCACAGGGAAAACATAAGTATAATATTAGAGTTGGTTAATATCCTGTTCTGAGTTCATTGTCCTACTTAAGTATAATTGGACCATATATACTATTTCCACATGTTTTATTTTATGAAATCAAAGATTTTTGAAGATCAAGAAAGCAAAATTTTTGAATTACATAAAAAATATGGGGAAAGAACATTGCTTACTTATGCCATAATCAATACTATACATCTATGATATCTACCCAAGCTGACAACTTACTAAAATTGTAATGAACTATAGATCTATATATGAAATGTATGTAGTTAAGGATTCTCTAGAGATATTTTATTAAAATATAAATAAACTGAAATTATATTTAGAAAATTTTTAAGTATTCCTTAAAAATAAAAATATACAAATTTATTAAAAATGCATTTTAATAAGAAGTTTATATAGTTTTATCTTTAAACTGATGTGATTAAAGTTCTCAAAACTATGTTTCTCAAACCAAAGCAAACAAACGATTTCTTAATCGAAGAAAAGAACAACACACAATGGCAAAATTCTAAGTAAAATTAATGAAATACATAATCGCTGAGATCTTTTATTAAAAATAAACCCTAGAGTCCTCCCTAAAATCCATTTATGCAACATTGTCCATTGAACTGCAACCTCTGTAATCCCAGAATAGTGCACTTGGTCTATACTGCCACCAAGTGCCTAAAGTCATTCCTTTTCAGATTCTTGCAGAAGTTCTAAATAGAATATTCATCTAGCACTTTGGAAACAGACGAACAGCAAAACATTTCGGCCCTGAATGTTGAAAAAGGGTGACTCAATTCAGACATACAATAAAATATCAAATGTATGAATATGAAAATCAATGCTCCTACCAGGTCACAGGAAGTTGATGAAGTCTAAATACATTATTCAGCGTGAAGTCGGCTTTCCCAGAAGTGTTTTCATTACTCACAGTCAGACTTGAATTTTGATCTATATCAGTAGGATATTCTGACTCCTAGAGAAAATATAAACTGGTCAATGTTTAGTAGCCAAACCACTGCATATATTAATACTGTTTGAATTAATACAAGGTTACAGCATAAATATTGTTATATTCTATAAGGACTTATGCTCTCCTAATTTTAACAAAATATGCAAAAATCATAAATAGGTCATACTTATTTCCATTTTTAACTGAATGCTATATTGTCAAAAATACTTGAAAATATTTTTCAGAATTACAATAAGCGAAAAGAAAAGTTGTCTTATATTAATGGTCCTTTGTCCATTTTCAGTATGTGCCTCTCACCAAAAATACTATCAATGATATCTGTGATTACTCTTATACTCTTGTTTTCTACAAATCATGGACTAAAAGTATTTTGTTGTTACAAAAGAAAAATGAGCTACTTTGTGCACTATAGTTTCATTTTATTATTATTTTTAATTTTTTAATTGAATTACCATAAGATATACTGTTACAAGCTTCTTCATGATTGTTCCAATACCCACCCCTTTATGGATGTTTAATTTTCAACATGAGAATAATTTGTGCGGGGCTGGAGTGATAGCACAGCGGGTAGGGAGTTTGCCTTGCACGCAGCCAACACGGCCAACACAGGTTCGATTCCCAGCACCCCATATGGTCCCCTGGGCACCGGCAGGAGCAATTCCTGAGTGCATGAGCCAGGAGTAAACCCTGATCATTGCTGGGTGTGGCCCAAAAAGCAAAAAAAAAAAAGAATAATTTGTGCAATGTCAATTATTTAATCATTCAAAAATATTTATAAATATTATTTTATTCCATGTATTATGTAAGCAAAGGGTTTAATAAGTGAACAAATCTAAGGAAGTCTTGCCTGGGCAGAGGTTAATATCACTATGGATTTTAAAATATATCCCCAGAGAAAATAATTGTAGAGCCGATTTTCATAATGAAGTACTTTTCCAGATTAACAAAATAATAGTCATATGGAAGTTTCACATACTTCACGGGAAAATGCTCAAACATATCTTATCAACTGACATAACTACTGACACTGTAATATCTCTATTTTCTGTTTTAAATATTTTTAAATTAGACCACCCTCTAATATCAACTATTTTTATCTATTTAACATTTTTTTAATGCAGGTTCATATGCTTAGTCTGGTTTGAAAAAATAGTACATGTTATAGGTGTTTCATTGATTCATCTACTTTACTCTCATGCATAAACCTGGTTTTTTTTTTTTTTTTGCATTTTTTGCAGTCTCCCAAGTAGTGAGGAGATACAGGAGCCCAACCTAATTTTATCTATGTTGAAGTTTGCATCCTAACTTGAAGACAACATGAACAGTAAGTAGGATTTATACCCACAAAGTGAAAATAGCCATAGAAAATTTTTGTTAGTTCACATATAAAACTGTAGTTCACTCAGGTACATTTATAAAAACCCTTGATTAAACTTGTTTTAGAAATCTTATTTTTTTTGTAATTATATAATTGGGACTTCTGTCTATTCCTCTTCTGTGGTAGCTTTATATTAATAATAATCCTTGGGTTTGAAATAGTATGATCATAAATTTTCATGCTGGCAAATACAACAAGGTAGATCAGAGTCCAATAAAATAATTTTTGACTAGATGTAAGTACCTAGAACCATAAAGTTGTTACTTTTATAAGCATTGTTAAACTAATTTAACAAGATATTTAATGATATCTAATCAGCTGGGTTACTAAAGCCTAAAAAATTATGGGCTACTTGGTAAAGCTCAGAAGAACATGTATAAAAGATAAAGGAAGTAAAATGTATCTCAGAGAAATCTTTCAAGCTAATATTACCCTTTTTTTGTATTAACTAAGCACAATTAGCAGCTCCCAATGTCTCTTTTTTGTCAGTGGTTACCAATCCTGACTATATGTAGCTTTTTGGAGGGATAGGTATTTGATCATTGTATAATTAAAACCCAAGTACAAAAAATTGTAAGTCTACAACTGTACCTCATGGTGTCTCACTAATAAAAATTTAAAATAATAAATAAATAAATAAATAAATAAATCCTCATCGCTTAGTCCCATCACAGACCTACTAAGTAAAACTTTTGGGGGCAAGACTGACCTTTATTTTAAATTTTACAATTTGTAATAAATAAGGATTGGAAATGCTGCCATTTCCTAGTAATTCAACTTAATCACATAATAACATGTGAACTTCCCCAGATATTAATATGTGACAATTATTTAATAACTTTCTGAATAGTCTTTTCCCATCCGTAAAATACTGCCAAATTTTATATTTGGCCCATAGTACACTTCAAGGATTGAGTGGACTATGGAAAGTGTAATCTTTGTAAAGCACTTTTTAATATGCGAGGTATTTAATAAATCCTAAAAAAATCTATTTATGCGAATATTCTTATTATTTCCATGGTTCATTTCAACTGGCACTATTTCCTATCCAATCATTTAATATATCCACTATCGAAGTATAATTTGAAATTTAATAGACTCCTAGGATATTGATCAAAGAAACGTGATTTAAATAATTCTATCAGAATCCTAGTGTCATATCCAGTTAACATTGGATCTCAATCTGTCCGAGTACACTGTTGATCAAAGGCGCTCTTGTTTCACTAGATGTCAAGATTAAAAAATAATATTGCTGGCTTTCTCTTCAAGCCTGTATTTTCCTTGAACAAGTATCTTGCATGCTTGTCTCTATATTTCATTACTTGCTTATTTCCACTCTGAAGAAGCATATGTTCTCCTTTGAACATATTTCCTCATTCTCTCCTCTCACATCATTATAAATAAATTTTGTTAAATAAAAACTACCTTGTTTCACTATAATAATAGTAATAATTGTATTAATGGTAAGGTGATAATGATTCCCATTTGTATATTAATATTCACTGTATCACTGTCATCCTGTTGTTCATCAATTTCCTCGAGCAGACACCAGTAACGTCTGCATTTGTCCTAGCCCTGAGATTTTAGCAAGTGCCACATTGGAGGCTCTTTCAGGGTCAGGGGAATGAGACCCATCATTGTTTCTGGGTTTTGGTATATCTAATACGCCACAGGGAGCTTGCCAGACTCTGCCGTGTGAGCAGGATACTCTTAGGAGCCTGCCAGGTTCTCCAAGGATGAGAATAGACAATAAGAGGTCACACAGTCACAAATGTGGCTGCACGCTTCTGGGAGCTCGGTTTTATATTCTAATACTAACATTACTAACATTAATATTATAAATCATAATATTTCTGCTTATATTCAAAGCATGAAATGACTCTCTTCTTTTCCCTAGACATATCAGTTAGGCATACTGTGCATCTATCTCTTACGGGAAAGAAAAATAACCTATATGACTCCCTCAACTCCTTTTCAGGTACCTGTATCCACATCATTCAGCACATTCAGAACATCGACATTATTCAGCATCATTTCCTTTCCTTTGATTGCACCAGTATTCATGGTAATTTCCTTAGCTGGTTTTGAACCTAAAATTGAAAACAGTTCACTCCAGAATTTAAAGCTTTTGGGCAACACTGTCAGGCACTGAATATCAGATGATGATCATAAGTAGAATACCCTCTTTCATTTCAAAAACTCAGACTCATAAGTAGGAACAAATGTGAAAAAACAGACTACTGATAAATGCTAAGTAATAAATATGTAGAAGTCAGAAATGCAAATTTGGACTTCAATATATAAATTTTATTTGCTCGAGGTAAAGGTAAAGGCCCTCCCGTTGATCGTCGATTTGCTCGAGCGGGCCCAGTAACGTCTCCATTGGAGACTTTGTTGTTACTGTGTCTGGCATATCGAATACTCTCGGTAGCTTGCCGGGCTCTTTGAGAGGGGCGGAGGAATCAAACTCGGGTCGGCCATGTTGGCCGCTTGTAAGGCGAACGCCCTACCCGCTGTGCTATCGCTCCAGCCCAATAAATTTTATTAGTTGTAGATATTTGTACTGCATTGATTAAATATAGTACATAATAGATAATAAACAGATCAATTAAAATACATTGAGGCATATTAAATAAAATATTCCATTGAATCTAGGCCAAATAAAAGATTAATGTGGAATTTAATATTAAAGATAAAATACTTTTTATTCTGAGATAAAGATAGATGAAATAAAGCAAGTTATATATTCCAATGTCTCAGTCATAACATCTATTGATAAACTTTCTTTTTTAAAAAATCTTAGTATAGCACCTTGGTTTACAAAGTAATTCACACTGAGTTTTAGACATACAGTATTTCAGCTCTGATCCCTTTGGCTTGGGGGCCATGCATGGCAATACTCAGGGTTTACTCCTGACTCTCCACTTAGGAACCACTTCTGGTGGTGTTTAGGGGACCATATGGAATGCCAGGGTTGATAAAATTCTTAACATATGTAAGTATTTAATCTGACTCAAAGAAAATCAATGATAATTTTGAAAATGCTTATAAAAGTTTGCTAAAATTAAGGTTATAGATATCACTCATGGGAATTAGCATATGACTTGCATATATAAGGCCCTGAGTTTGATTCCTGAATCTAGATGGTTTAATGAACACCACAGGGAATCACCTTGAAAACCCTGTATCATTGGGCTGTTGCTGCCCTACAAAATATAACAGTGAACAAAAATTTAAAATTATGTTGACATGTATAATAAACTAGAAAAAATTTCCCTGAAGTTTATAGTATCTTAATTTTACAGCTAAGACTCAATAAGTAATCTAAATCTAAACAAGAAATCTGTATCTAAATGACTCCAAGTCTAATGAGTATTCCACGTAGAAACAATATTTATATAAAATGATTAAACAAAAATGGAATATTTCTTTAATCGCTGAAATATTAAATTTAAACAGCCATTATTTTTACTGACTATAGCAACACAAATATACAGAACTTGGGATGAGTTTTAACCCATTTAACCTCTTCAAATACAATACTAAAGCTTTCAAAATAAAACTTGGCTTGTCATTTTATGTGCAAAATATTCTTGGAGAGAGAAACAACTTTAATGTTCATTAGCAAAGACGAAATAAAAGGGGGAGAGTCAAGTCATTAAAGAACTGTTTTTATAGAAAGTCTCCCTTTACTATTTGAATATTTACCATGGGTTTATGTATTTTTAATAATTTTTCAAAAAAAGCAAAAACACTTTTCAAAGAATGGAAACTAAACCTATACATTATTGTTCTTTGTGGCAGGCATTTTTAAATAATTAGACAACTCATGCCATACTTTTAAAATCAAGATTCAAAGGACTCTTCAAAATAAAACAATTTCAGTAGTTATTTCAGAGACTCTAAAAAGTTTTTCTACATTTCTAAGCCTCTCCTTGCAGTTAATTTGAGTCAGCTTGACTGGGTTCAGAAAACTAAAGGTGACCTCAGCCCATACACTAAGTATCACAGCATTTCTCACCATTTCTCTCCCTCTTCCACGGTAACTTTGGGGGACTATGTTCCAGATAGTGAAGCTAGGCTGCTCCTAGGTCTGAAGTCACTGAAGACAGCACAATGCAGAGTGACATCACCTATCAGTTAAGAATGAAGCTTTGTTGTGAAAGAATCTGAAATTTTGACCTCATCTCCTACAGCAGTGAATGCTGTTTAAACTGGCCAATACAGTTAAGAAATGATGATGATTATTCATTGGCTACTAAGATAATTTTTTAAAATACAAGGTCAAAAGGTGAATGTTAAGCTATTTTTTAAATAATGTTTGAGATGCATGGATGATAGTTTAATGGGTTAAGCTCATTCCTGGAAGGCACAGAACCCTATGTCCAATTACTGGCACTTCATGGCGTCCTGAGCACTACAAGCTGTAACCCTGATGGCCTCACCACTACTGGAAAGCACCAGCCAATATTATTCTTGCTATATTATTCTCTCTTGGTGCTAAGGCCAAATTTGGAGGTGAATTTAACAGAAACAGCATTTCCTTCTATCATCCTTGTCCTCATTATTTCATTTATCATTCAAGTGGTCTACTGACAAACTTTACACATCACTACCTAGGAATGACTGACAGCTGATATTATCAGCAAGACTTGATTGAACTAATTGACATTCACAGCAAAGTATGAAAATGCGAACAAGGCGGGGAAAGTGTTTCTTCTTTATGCAGTTGTTCAATTCCTTGACCTTTATGTTAGATTGCATCTTTGTGGTCTAATATGGGAGGGAAAATACTTATAAAATGCAATTTTACCCCTCCCCTGAAACTCCACTTAGACACATACCTGCAAGCTTGGGAATCCATCAGACTCCACCCCTGGGCCAGGGATTAACTCCAGCTACTATATATATCTTATACTGGGGACAGGTGGCATGTGGCACTCCTATTTCCCAAACAATTTAGAACCTTAAATCTCATTTAACATAACTTAGTAATTAGCTGAGAGTTTCAGGGCATACTCAAACAACATTGCATGTGGAAAATAACCTCAATAGCAGATGTAGTATTAGTAGATGTTTGGCATAAATAGCAGATCAGTTTTCAAGTAACTGGGAATCCAAACTTCCATACTAAGTTCCATAAAACTTGAAGAACAATGTGGAAATGAATAAGCCAGCTCAGTTGCAGAAAGGAATAGAAACCCAGGAAAGTCCCCAAGACCTCCTTGAGTCTGGTACATGAGGACATAAAATCAACCATCACTGCACTGGCAACAGAAATTAAGCAAGCATTTGCCAGAAAAATTACATGATCACCAGATGAGAAGTTTAACCAACTGAAAGAAGAAATTTTTTTACAGAATGAGATATTACATACAAATGGATTTGAAGGAGCTAAAGAATACACTAGCAAGCCATAACAGCAGAATCTCACAAGGGAAGGACTACAAAGATGAACTTGAAGACAAAATATGACCAGCATTGTAAGGGAACTTGAAAAAGAGAAACAACAAATGAAAGAAAGTGTAAGGTACTTGATGAATGAAGACAAGAGTGATCTTTGAATTATTCTTCAATGCTGAGGAAAAAGGGAAAAGTGAAGAGCTAGTGATGGGAGAGATAATAGCCGAGAACTTCTCTATACTCTGGAGGGAGGCAGTTGTACAGATTCAAGAGACCAAAGGGGTAGCAAGCAAAATAGACCAAAAGAGAACACCAAGGCACATAGTAGTCAAAATGGCAAAATCCGAAGAAACTTCTTTTAATATTTCACTAGATAACCAACGCTGACAAAGATATCATAAAAATAATTAGACCTATCTCCTTAATGAACACTGATGTAAAAAATCCTCAACAAAATCAAAGGTACTGGATGAAACAGCACATAAAAAAATCATACACCATATACTATACTTTCGAGAGTCATTTCTATAGTTTGTTACTACAGAAGTTTCTCTGATCATATAGAGCACCCAAAATTAAGAGGAGGAACCAGAATATCCTGAGCATGAAGCCAGTTCTATATGTTGCTTTTGCAATCACCTTTCACCATTGATGATCATTCTTCTCTTCCCATGGAAGACTGAGAGGAAGAGAATGCAGTCTCAGTGGTTCTGGTTGAAAAAATAAGTATACATATGATCAAGTGGTATTCGCCAAGAGATACAAGAATGATTCAAACAAATTTATTAACACAAACAAATTAACATAATAAAATTAAAATATCAATTGATACAGAGAATACTCTTGAAAAGATCTAACATGTATTCATGATAAAACCCCTCAATAAGAGTGGAAAGAACCTTAAGTTAGTAACAGCTATCTATGATATTATTCTTGATTATAAAAAACTGAAAGCATTCCCACTGATATCAGGCACAAGGCAAGTCTTGTCCCCACTCATATTCAACATCCTATTACAGGTCCTAGGAATAGCAATCATGCAGGGAAAGGAACCAAAGGAATCCAAATTGAAAAAGAGTACCAGGAATTTTGCTCCATGGCTTGGAGGCCAGCCACACATGCTAGGTGAAAAGGAAGCTCAGATAGAGAAGGGAGCACTAAATAAAGGGTGTTGGGAGGATCCTCCCAGGATGGGAGAAGCATGCTGAAAGTAAACTATAGACCAAACATGATTGCCACTCAATGCCTCTTTTGCAAACCAAAACACCCAAAAGGAGAGAGAGAACAAAAGGAAATGCCCTGCCACAGAGGCAGAGTGGGATGGGAGGTGAGGGTGGGAGGGATACTGGGACCCGTGGTGGTGGAAAATGGGCACTGGTGGAGGGATGGGTACTTGATAATTGTATAACTGAAACCCAAGCACAAAAATTTGTAAATCTACAACTGTACCTCATGGTGTTTCACTAATAAAAATTTTAAAAAAAAGAAAAAGAGAAAGTCAAGGGGCTGGAGCGATAGTACAACAGGTAGGATGTATGCCTTGCACACAGCTTACCTGGGTTCAATTCCCAGCATCCCATATAGGCCTCTGAGCACCACCAGGAGTAACTTCTGAGTGCAAGTACCAGGAGTAACCCCTGTGCATCGCTGGGTGTAAACCAAAAAAAAAAAAAAAAAGGAAGTCAAATTATCTCTATTGACAGATGACAATAAGAATAATAATGACATTTTAGGTTGAAGACTCTAAAATGTTCACTTAAAAGCTTATAGAAACAATAAACGAGCATAGAAAATTGGTTGGCTACAAAGTCAATACACAAAAGTCAGTTGCACTTCTATGTGTAAGTAATGAATCAGAAGAGAAGCGATCAAAGAGTCTATCCCATTTAAAATAGCCTTCCAAAACACTAAGTCCTAGGAGTCAACTTAACAAAAGAGGTGAGATACATACCTATACCAACAAAACTTTAAAACACTAAGGAAAGAAATTGAAGAATACCTTAGGAAATGAAAAAGCATTATATGCTTGTGGGTTAGAAGAAACAATATTGTCAAAAATGATCACCCTACCTAAACTACTCTATAGATTCAGTGCAATTCCTGTCTAATTTCAGACAACAGTCCTTAAGGACTAATTTTTTATAAAGCTTGTTGGAACCATAAAATACCACTCGTATCACACTGTATCACTTGTCATCATGTTGTTCATCGATTTGCTCGAGCAGGCAACAGTAACGTCTCCATTCATCCCAGCCCTGAGATTTTAGTAGCCTCTCCTTACTTGTCCTTCCCAATGCTGCCATATTGGAGGCTCTTTCAGGGTCAGGGGAAGGAGACCAGTTATTATTACTGTTTTTGGCCTATGAAATATGTCATGGGTAGCTTGCCAGGCTCTGCCATGTTGGCAGGACACTCTCGGCAGCTTGCTGGGTTCTACGAGAAAAAAAAAAAACTGCATTGCTCTCTTCCAGGAGCTTTGTTTTATAGTCTCTGGATCTTGGCCATTGGTGAGATTACATGGCTCCAGAGGCAGTTTGTGGGTGTGACTACGAAAGCTACTGGAAAACTGGGGATCTGGGGTGGAGGCCCAGTACCAATCCGAGCAGGCCTAGAGATCTCAGTCATGGGTCCCGCATACCTTGGTTCCTCTGCTGGTTCTTTCATGCGTGAGGCTTGTCTGAGCATGTGGAGAGTGACCTTGAGCATGGCTGTCCCTGGATTCTGGAGGATTTTGGACCACAGATAACCAAAATCATACTGAAAAAAAAAACAATAAAATAATGGCATCCTATTACCTTAACTTGAAGCAACATTATAAACTATATTAATCAAATAGTGTGGTGCTGGAACAAAGAAAGACTCTCTGACCAATGCATCAGAATAGAATATCAAAGCATAAACCCCAATATATGTGGTCATATAATTTTTGACAAAGTAGCTGAGAGTATGAAATGGAGTAACAAAAGACTCTTAAACATGGTAATGGGGGGCTGGAGCGATAGTACAGCGGGTAAGGGCATTTGCCTTGCACGCAGCCAACCCAGAATTGGTTCCCAGCATCCCATATGGTCCCCCGAGCACTGATAGGAGTGAATCCTCAGTGCAAAGCCAGGAGTGGCCCCTGTGCATCGCCGGGTATGACCCCGAAAAGCAATAAATAAATAAATAAATAAATAAATAAATATTCTTTAAAAATGGTAATGGGAGAACTGGATAACCACATACAATAAATTAAATCTGGATTCATATCTCACACCTTACACAAAAGTCAACTCAAGTAGATCAAAGTCCTTGAGAAAAGACATGAATCTATGAAGTACATTGATGAAAATATAGGTAAAATACTCCAAGAACTAGACTTCAAAGGATTCTTCAACAACAATGCCAATGGCAAGGACTACAGAATGAAAACTGACTAAATGGGATTACAACAAACTAAAAAGTTTCTGGGGCAAAGGGAACCTGGGCTAAAGCTAAACGACAGCTGACTGGGAGAAAATATATATCAGAAAAATGGCTGATTCCAGGATATATTAAGTATTCACAAAGATCAACAACAAGAAAACCTAAAATCCCATCCAAAAATGTGGAGAGAAAATGAAGTCACTTCTCAGTGAAAGATCAACATATGGCCAAGAGGCACAAAAAATGTTCATCACCACTTATTACAGGGAAATCCAAACAGAACAGCAATGAGTTATAGCCTTACATCTGTGAATGGGACATATCAAAAATACTGGTAACAATCTCTATTGGTGAGGGATGTGGTGAAAAATAACTTACATCAGCTGCTACTGAAAAAGTTATCTGGTCCAACCCATATAGAAAATAGTATGGAGACTTCTCAGTAAACTTATAGTTGAGCTCCAATATGACCCAGAAATTCCACTGTAGGGTAGTTATCCCAGGATAGAAACACATTCATTCAAAAAATGTATGTACCCATTATTCATTGTAGCACTCAGTACAATAGACAAGAATTTGAATCAACCTAGATGTGTAATGACAGATAATCAGATCATGAAGATTGTAGGTATATATACAATGGAATGCTACATAGCTGTAAGGAATGATGGAATCATATGATAATGGCACCATGAATGAAAATGGAAGGCATTATGTTAAAAGTAAGTCACGATAAGAGGGATAAACACAGGATGATATCACTTATATGTGGTGCTTAGAATAACTGGATGAGAGAATGCAATGGTCTCAAGGCATGATGCCCAGATCACCCATTGCCCCAGAGTATAGGGAGGAAAAGGGAAAAAATGTGGAGAGACAGGAAGAAAAGACAGATGAGATAAAACAGGGGGTGTGGGGGCAAGCCAGGGGATTCAGGTTGCATCAGTGATGTTAAAGAATGAGAGAGCCAAATACACTAACCACAAAGTCAACACTGAAATCAAGAAATCCAAACATTTTTAAATAAAATGTTATTGAATATCTGCAATATTCAATAACCTTTAAAAAGCTGTTCATGGTTGGGTTTCAGTAGTACAATGATCCAACACTCATTCTTCCACCAGTGTACATTTCCCACCATCAATGTCCCCCATTTCCCTCCCACCATCCCGATCATCCCCCACCCCAGACTATCTCTACAGGAGGCATTTTTCTTCTTTTTCTTCTTTTGTGCATTATGGTTTGCAATAGAGGCACTAAGAGGTCATTGTGTTTGTTCAGGGCACTCAGTATTTTTATCAGGAAGCTAAGGTTAGAGTAGATTTGTAATTGAGTGGTTGTTGGATAACACTGGTTTTTCCTTGCTTCTCCCTCAGGGAGTTTAGGTTTATTGGGCTACCCATCACAGTGCTCCCAAGGCACACCCAATTCCATCAGGCACTCCTAACCCTCTGTTTCTCTTCTTCCTCTATATGTTATATTGTTTTTCTCTTTCCTTTATATCTTTCACATAGTTTATTTTAGAGAAATGTCCATTTTGTTTAGACACAGGAAGACAGTTTTTGTAACATGGGAGTTAACTGACTTCAAATAATATTTACTCCTGGGCATCCATCATATTTACTTGATTTAAACCTCAGTTGCCCTTATTTCCTAACACCCCCAAAAGGAGAGGCCTGGCGAGGGATTTAAATGGACCAACGGCAAGTCATAAGCTACCTTGGAATCAGAAGGGGGCAATTTAAGTGCCATAAAAGTACAGTAAGTTAAGAGCACATTCATGGAACAAACTGTTATGACCCCAAAAAGTAAATAAATAAATAAGTTCCCTGCCAGGGTTAGGAAAGACTAACCTGGTCTTGAGAACTGTAGACTGGGTTGTATAGTGAGATGTCACCAGGAAGAGCCACCCTTTCTACTTAATACATTTCTTACTGTGTTCATATAAAATGACTAGAAGATTAATATTTAATATCATTGTTTAAATGGATTACTAGCTAAGGAAAGGAGTGAGTAATATGCCTGTAGGTGGAATCCTACCCTTGAGCAGATGGCCGCTCAAGAGTAATCAAAAGAACTGAACTCCCAGATGAGATTTTTGTTCTTCAGTTAATCTCCTAGAAGAGCTTACCCTGAAGGAAAGGCTTAACATCTGCTTATTCCTATGATAACGTTCAACCACATCTATGTGTACCCCAACCCTTCATGATTTCTATCTAACTAATGGTGTGAGACTTGACTAAACAGACAGTGACTACCAGTCACTGAATACCAAGCAGGCTGTGGCCCCATTACTTCATTCCA